ATCAATTTGGTTTAGGTTTAGATTTTGCAATACATTCAAATAAATAAGTATATAGACTTCACATTGCATGCACATATTTGCAAATGAATCAAAAACTTTGAGTCACCAAAGAAAAAGATGGATTTTATTCCTTTCCAATTTAAAATTGTGACAACTTTCAAAGGCGGAACACGTTAAAAATATATTCAAATAACAAATATGCCATCATATGTAAAGTCACAAGAGTTTCACATCACCAGCATTGATGAGTCTAAAAAGAAAGTTGGATGCTGGTGAAGGCTCAGAATCCAAACAAATCTAGTCAACGTCTGACCAACTTCTGTGGCTGCAGCAGCTCTCAGAGCAGCTTGGCGAGCTTAATCTCACTTGCACCCTCATCAACACAACACAGAAGGGAACAAATTCACTGTTTCATCCTCATTCTTCCAGGCACGCCGCGGAGCTGTATACAGTACACACCAGATCAAAGCCTTAATTGAAAAATAATTATAGGTACTTAATCATAGAAAGCACTGGGCTAATTGCAGTGAAAACAAGGAGGCAAACGCGGACCCCTCAGAATGGTGGCAGAAAGAGGATATTGTAAAAGCTTCTTCTTCAATCCCCATTGTCTTCCAGATTAAAGAGGAGAGGGCTATTAGTGGAGTTAATTGGCTCTCTAATTTAGATCTCGCCCCACTGAAAGCATAACGGATGTGAGGCTGTCGACCAATGATGTGTGCACTCTGTCACGCTGTCCTGCTGGACCGTGATTGGTTAATTGCTCAGGGATTTTTAAAGTTTTCTCTCATTCTTCAAATGTAACAGATGTGCGTGCGTGTGCGTGTGCGTGTGTGTGTGTGTGTGTGTGTGTGTGTGTGTGTGCGTTTGCCCAGGTAGTGTTCATTGTCTGAAGTGGGTTAGCGCTGAAACTCATTTGATTTATTTACCCCTCAAACCTGATCACCACGTGTGCCAGCTCACATTTTTGTCTTTTCCAAGCAGATGTTATAACTGTGTCAATACCTCCGGATCTCTTTCGTATACACCGGACGTCACTGAAGGAAGTGGGTACTAAAATCCTGATAGTCCTCCTCCTGACCCCGCGTATAATGTACAGTACTTTTTGATGCCCGCGGAGAAGTGGCACATTGACTGCAGGCCGCGCTTCGTGAAAGGACTTCTTATCACACTCTCTGCAAGTTTGCTCCCTGCTGCGCCAGCCAGCAGGCGTTCTCTGCGCTCGCTCTGCTCTCTAGCGTGCGCCGGGCGGCAGTGCACTGAGAGGGCGATGTAACTCCATTTAGACACCCAAAAAGGCGGAAGGAAGTAAATGGGCCATTTTTCTCCCATTTTTTTCCCCCCTTTCATCATTTCTCGCACATCTCTTTCTAGTGTTTTCTTATTGTTGCTTGGAAGGTAATGGGGCTCTTGGCTCTCCGACTTCAGAATAAATAGATGTTGTGGACATTTTTCTTTCCAGGTCTGTCACCCGAACTTTTTCTATGACAAAAGTCAGAGAAAATGACAGCAGATTATGCTTCATGGCATTCTGTTTGTGGGCAATGCATCCCGGAGTAATCCAAATTACGTTATGAGCCCGTGATGCACTGCTTGCACTCAGCTTATAGCTCCCCTCTACTTGACCACACGGCTCCTGGTTGGTCACCATCTTGGTTCTACTGAGTGGACTGCCATTAAAAGGGTTTCTGACAATCTTGGTTCCCTGAGGATGAATCCCTGTAACTTTAGCGTTGCCTGACTTTTGCTCTACTTTTTTTAAATAAAATGTTTAAACAGATGTTTTAAATTGGCCACATAAATCCATGTCCTCGTGAAGAAGAATTGTAAACACGTTGCCAACATTTAGCTCAGATGTAGATTCTTAAGTTGTAATGACAGTGGATGAAATTAATGGGAATGAGGTTTCTTTTTATAATAACCAAATAGTGTAAACAACATAACAAATGCAGGGAAATCAATTCACTAACATCACTAAAATACATATTGGGATACAAACACTGGTTTTAACATCGTGAGTGTGTGTGAAGAAACGTCAGTAACTGGCAGGCTGGTTATTTTTGTGGGCAGACGATATTGTGTTTGTAGCTTGTTGAGCAATGAAGTTTACATCAATTCATTCTATATCAGCTCGGTCGAACTTTTCATTGGAGTTTCGCTGTGTGATGTTTGCATGGTGTGAAATATTGAAATCTAGAACGCTTTGATGTTTTTATGGCTGGTATACACTATATTAAAGGAAATATTCCTGAGCTTTTTCAGCATGTTTTGTGATTTTATTGGGTGAAAAACATGAGTTTGTATTAACTGGCCAAGTTGTTTAGAGAAAACAATGTGCATTGATTCAATGTTTCTTACAGTCAAAAAAAAAGGTATTCACAGCAAAACCAACACCTCCATAAGGAACACGTCTTACCCTGGTGGCCTGAAGTGTCTCATTTGAACAGGCAGCCGAGGAGAAGCAAACAGTGGCGCCGGCAGATGCTGGGAAGGTTGTTTGCTTAAGGTTCAGCCTGCTGGCGGACAAAGGGCTTAAAGCACGGCAGGCAGCAACAGTCATTACTGCAGTACTTCAACAATCCTTTTGTTCGTCATTCAGTGTACAAAGACTTACCTGAGAAGGAAAGTCTGCCTTTAGACATATTTATTTAACCTTGCACTTGTCTTTAGCTCCTGTGAATTTAACTCTCAGCAGAAACAGAGCTGAATACTTGAACTGGAAAAAGGCTCAGATACATTTTGCTAAATAAATATGAGTTAGCTGTGGTCACTTTTAAGGTGTATGTGTGTATATTTATTCATTTATATATATATATATATATATATATATATTTTGCATGTTATATTATTCTTAAAATAATTAATACGGATAATATCCGTTCTAAAAAGAGAATTCTTTGTCGGGCATTGGCCTTTTTACTCAGAATTTCTTTTATTAAAGTTAAAACTCATTGTTACTTTTCATGTTGAAAAAATGCACAAAATATGTTGGACGTTTTCAACAAAGTTTATACACCAAATCCAGTAACCTGCCTGACTCAAATTTAACAAAGTTACAGTTCTGTGTGTTTACTCAACTGTAAATGTAAATTCTGTGTTAATAAAGGCTGTGTTTTTCTCGGAACGAGGCCCCAACCCAGTTTTCGTTCGGCCCTGGTGTCTACAGTTCTCCTCGATATATCAGTCACATGCAAATTGGTTTCAGTTCGCTACAATCATATCAGTATTTACTTTTGCCCGGGCCACCCCGACAACATCGTCATCCAGTATCGCTTAAGCCAGGCCGCCTGCAGGAAGCCTGTTCATTTTCTTCAAATACAAAACAGTCAAAAGAGTGTAGATTAAGCATCAGATCTGTACATAATAACACGGATAATAAGACGTTGAAATTGTAAAGAAGCTTTGACTGCTTGATGTATCAATAGTTGTAAATAAACCAACTAAATAGAAGCATTCATTTTTATAACGTCAAACTCACATCTACGCCGTAAATATCTTATTAAAAACTGGGCAATGCTTATTGTCGCCCTGCTGTTTTTGCAATGTAATGGGGGAAAAATGCGCATTTCTTGAGTATCTTGCCTTAAAAACAACCGGAAAAAACAGGAACCTTAAAGGAACTGATGAATCTACCCGGCCCATCAGGATGTGACTCAAGCAAGAAGCCGTAGACACCAGGCAGTGTGTCATGGTTTTTTCAAAACGCGTGACCGAACGTTGTGTGTCAGAAGATAAAGGAACACGAATGGCAGCAAGCTAACGCTAACATTCAGGCTCTTTCAAAACCCTGCAGATTCCACCAAAACAGTAAACATTAACTTCAAAAAGCAACAACCAAAGATAAAGTTAAGAACGCTTGGTCACTTTCTGGCAGCGAGTTAGATGAGTCACATCTGTGAGATAAACAGCACCACAGCGGCCAGGTTGTTAGCTTGGTTTAGCTTAGCACAATGACTGTACATGGAGGGAAATAGCTGGCTGAACAAAGTTAACAAATCCAGATTCCTGTTTAGTACCATTTGCTTAATCCGCACAAAAAGTCAGGTGTAAAAACAACAGTTTGTTGTTTGGTAAAAAAACACATTACCCACCATCAAAATATCAAGTTGTTTTCTGCACCACACGTTTTATTCAGATACACCAGATGAGATTTAGTTACATTCGTACCAGGAAAAGTAGATAAGCGCACTCATTTTTCAAATTATTTATCAAAATAATGAATCCACAGGGTAAAACAAATACAAAGCTCTTTATCATGTGAAATCCCCAAAACTGTCATAGAAAACTGCGTGTTCCTGTTTGGACCTGACGGCTCATAGTGAGAAACTGAATACTTGATGAATTGACATCATTTTCAATTTAAAGTGGTAATAGCAGCAGCAGCAGCTCAGGGTATCGTTTGTAATAAATAACATTAAGTGACCCGCGCACGTTCACTTCTTACTGACTAGCAACCAATCTCGTCGTCCATCTAATACGCTCCACCCAACTCCTGTACACGACACGGCCGTGTGCAAACAAGCCGGGTCGCTGGTCAAGTGGTTCTAGTCTCCAAACCCGCCGTTATCACATTCTAACACAGAGCCGCAGAGCAGACGACTGCGAGCGGTTTATTCTCTTCCCTCAGCGGCACAGTGACGACGGCAACATGGCGGCCACCCTCTGTCAGGTGATGGGCTTCATTCTCAGTTTGCTAGGGGTGGCGGGAATAATAGCGGCGACGGGGATGGACCAGTGGGCGACGGAAGACCTCTTCGACAACCCCGTGACGGCCGTGTACTCGTACTCGGGCCTGTGGAACTCGTGCGTCCGGCAGAGCTCCGGATTCACCGAGTGCCGGCCGTACTTCACCATTCTGGGACTGCCAGGTACGCTTTCGTTTGTCATGAGCGACGCAGGCGCAAAATGAAGGGAAATACTTCAGTGACCCCACCCCCTAAAAAAAAAAAAAAAGAAGAAAACATAAGAAAATACATTTTATTTGAGGTCAAACATTTTTTGTTGGTTAAAAGCTGAAAATTCCCAAACTGAACTTTATGAGCGTGGCGGTCATCATGTATTTGGGGGGATATTATGCTGTTACTTACTGGCATTGTTCTAGGATATCGGGGGGGGAATAAATTAGATAAGCCGTTGTATTGTATTGTTAAGTTGTTGTTTATACAAAAATGAAGGAACTAAGAAAAGAGATTTTCAGAAAGAGCTTCCTGAAAATGATGCTGATGAAGCCGCGCCCTTTGTTAATGAAGGGTGTAAATGGTAAACCCGAAACTGGGACAAAAGACTCACGAGAAACGCGGTAAACAACTGATAAGGCCTGTTCCCTGTTGAGGCATTCATAAAGATAAGCAGCAGCTCCCACACTGCCATTTCACGGCCGCGTGACATTGGTGGGAGCATTGGGAGATCTAAGATGGCCGCCTCGATGATTCAGTTAATAGGCTTCATGTTGTCCGCGTTGGGGCAATTCTTGATTTCAGCTGCGACCGCGATGGACATGTGGAGCTTGCAGGATCGATCTTTTGCAGTCGTGACAAATTTTTATACCTACTCTGGTTTATGGAACTCGTGTGTGGGGACGTCGTACGGTACGACGCAGTGCAGGCCTTATTTCACCATCCTGGGCCTGCCAGGTAAGAGAGGGACAAGACGTTTATCAAACGTGCTCTGCACGTGGTGGATTAAGGAGAACATTTTCCCGGGAGCTCTCCGGCGGGTACTTTAGAATATTCCGGAGGTTTTAGGGCAGATTTCCTCTCTTTCCCGCCGTCGCCTAAAAATGCAGCGGGCTGCAGAAAAGATGGTGTCTCTCCGGAATCAAATGGAAATTTGATGAGACATCCAAAGCTTAGCTGAGCAAGCACAAGCTTTACCGGAGTGTCACACAATGTAAAGTACATTTCCACAATCTGTACTTAACAGCTGAATGTAGTGAAGAGCATACTGTACATACGGTCTTAAAGGCTTAAGTCTGGAATAATACAGGTACGATATCTCAGGCCATTGAAAGATGGCATTCGGGTCAAAATGTTTTACTCGTAGTGCCCCGATTTAGGAGTTTTTATATTGCTACTGCTGGAAAAACGTATTCTATCTTAATTTAATTTCTACATTTATTTTTAATCATAAGCAAATGTCGAGTGTGGTGAGCTCTCTAAGCATACGTCAAGTATGTTCTTGATATAAATCGGCATTGGTAAAACATTAGTATACAAAATTTGTAAAAAAAAAAGAACGTTTTTGTTTTGGTGTAAGAATTTACATGCGTGTGCCTGTGTAGACGTGCCTGAGTGTGCATTACAGGGATGCAGTTTGTATTGGCTTTGTTTGAAATGGTAATTTGAATTTACTGATGATTTCTTAAAGGTGATCTATGACAAAATCTTTGTTTATTGGATATATCCCTATTTTCTTTGTCATATATCTTAAGTAAAATACTTGAAACGTTGATTGATAACAAGTCTTGTGTCCTGTCTGTTCTGTAGTATATTTTATACAGTATACATAATACTATATAGTATTAATATGTATAATATTAAGTATTGATTTTAGTAATATACTCTATTCAACCTGTATTGACGGCTTGCAGACGGGTTTTATTGGCGAATGGTTTGCTGCGGGACGTTCTGAGCGGCGTGACTTTGACTTTCAGCTCTGCTGCAGGCCGTCCGGGCCTTGATGATCGTCGGCATCGTCCTCGGAGCCATCGGAGGCCTCATCGCCATATTTTCACTCAAGTGCTTGAAAATGGGGAACATGGAGGACAACATCAAAGCCACAATGACTCTGACAGCCGGCATCATGTTTCTTCTCGGAGGTGCCGTCACGTTCGCAGTGTCTCGTTCTGTTGTCCCTGTGATTCAGTTCTGGGTTCATCTCATCGCCTGCTTTGTGATTCGCAGGCGTCTGCGGCATTGCCGGGGTGTCGGCCTTTGCTAACTTGATCGTGCAAAGCTTTCGGTTCACGACGTACGCCGATGGCGGGTTCAGCATGATGGGAGGAGGGGGGATCGGTGGACTCTCGGGATCTCTGACTCCGAGGTAAAGTCGAGTCGAGCGTCTCCGGTTTTATCTGCCGCGGCGTCTTTTACTGACCGCCGTCTTTCGTTCAGGTACACCTTCGGCCCCGCTCTTTTCGTGGGCTGGATCGGCGGAGCCGTCCTGGTCATCGGAGGCGTCATGATGTGTCTGGCCTGCCGTGGAATGTCCTCGGATGCGAAGCAACGGTACGCTGCGTCATCTCTGACCTTTCTTGACCTCTCTAACAACAACCTGGCGGCAACTTCGCCAGAGCTTCTGTCTGCAGCAAAGTGTCAGAGGCCAGGAGGCTGCTATCGGCACGGGGGGGGTGGGGGGGGGGTCCACAAGGAGTGTCTAGAGTAAAGAATTATAAAAATGCTCCTTTAAAAGCTAAGGACTCAGCTAAATATAAATGTGAGTCATTTGGTGTGTGTGTGTATATTTATTTATTTTAGATATATAAAGCACAGCTGCAGATGCTCAAGAGGCCCCATTAAAACAGCATGTGTAAATGAGTGGAGGGATGTTCTTTATTTGAATCCGCTTGTGTTTTGATGTTCTGCAGGTACGACGGGATGGCCTACAAAGCCTCCTCTCACCACACTATCTACAGGACCGACCCCAAACCCCGCCCTGCCTTCAATGACTCCTACAGGGCGCACAGCGCGGACGGAAGGATGTCCAACCAGAAATTTGATTATGTGTAGAATCATGTCGCTCATCGTTACCTCTGTTTTCTGATGCTCTGTGATGATGTTTTTTTTGTTTTTGTTATTTTTATTTGGTGGTTACGTAACAATGAAGTGGTTATTTTCTTATTTCTCTCTACCTTAATTTGGCTGAGCTGCCGAACACTTATTGTAGTCGATTTTATCATTTTATTTTTCTACGCTTGTATAATCGCAACTAGCAATTAGCGAATGCTGTTTTGTGATTCATGAAGTGATATTTTTTTGTGAAACAAAGATATTTCTATTTGTTGTAATTCAAAATGATTCACCTCAGTATGTGACACAACAAAATAAAAATATTGATAGACTTAACGTCTAAACCAGCTGTTTGTTGTAAGGTCAAACCTTTCTTTGTGTTTAGTGGAGAACTGCAAACACACTATCTATCATTCATCTGTACATATTCTGTCAGAAAAGAGATCATCAAAACATCTGAAAGAAATAACTCTATTTAAAGTTGTGCTGTTGTTTATCCAATTAGTGTTATCAGTAGAAAATGCATTGGTCATAGTTTATCGATGGTAGTTCCCTTTATCTCCGGCCCTGCAGCACTACGTGATGAATACAAGAGTTGTGGCATTCTAATTGAATACGTTCAGATTGAAGGCATATGTTTGATGGAAGTTCTCGACTGGTCGTTGATACCAAGGCAACATCTATATACATCTATACATCTATATCTGTATTTGTTCATGGTTACATGCAAATGCGTTTTTCCACCCGGGGTGGAGGCCTCAGTAAGAACCTTTGAATACCAGACTTCAATTGAGTCAACTGGTGGTTCATTTGGTTAAAAGATGGCTCCAGTCTAAATTCAGTAAACCTCACTTTGTTATTTTTAGTTCCAGTTTGATTGCCTGATAATCTCTTTTTATTGGTGAAGCTTTAGATTTGTGGATCCTCATCCTTGGACCTGTGGCGCCACCTACTGGCTGAGATGCGCATCACTGCTCTGTGGCTGTTGGTTGAGATGCATCAGAGCTCAGATGCTGTTTCACAATCCTTTCTTTCACCCACTTTGACTTTGTGTTGAGCTTGTGATGTTCATAGTGCAGAAATAAAAGCCTCTTTGAACTGCAATATAATATATCAATTTTTTGTTTTAATTGATTGGCCTTAACTTGGATGACAATCACCACCACTTAGCAAAGCCACACATACTTTGCAGCACGTTTCTCACATAAGGACCATCGAAGCAACTGCATATGATGTAAACCTGTAAATTACAAAACATGTTCTCTTGAGCTGTTTGACCTCAAAACTGTAGATCCAGTCTAACAAATAAGTTTTATTTATTTTTTGGAATTGAATTATGGTTACCTGATAGATCCCTAACTTTCTGTTGGTATTGTTAGTTATCTCCACGCACTTCCCCTCATACAATGCATGAGGAAGTACTACTTATTTTATAGAGCCAACTATTACTTTCCAACTTATTACTATGGGGGTGTGTCTTTTCTTAATATAAATGCTATAGGTGGTCAACCAACAAGCACAAAGCTTCTGACACATATACTTGGAAATATTTTAATTAGGATTATTTTTATGGAGGGTTAAATTGAGGATCAAATTGATCCACAGGGTAAAATATATGAAGGTAAAAGGGAGGTTAAGTACACGTTATCATAATTTAATTTACTGTCCGTCTGTGTGGGTTAGGGTCCATATTGCGACATCACACGGGCCAGGTGGTAGATGGGTGCCTACAGGAAGGACCACAACGAGGAAGCACGGACTCACTCGGGTTAAGTCGGATTAAGGAATCGTTTTCTTCTGACACGCTTTATGTTCAATAATGGACTTTGTCAGATTTTTTTATATTGTTTGAATCAAATGACCTTAGCTGGTACGGGGGAATGAACCAATTTTTCTTCATTAAACACTGATGGTGGTTACTTGTCAGCTCTCACGCACTGCTGCACCCTCGCTGGCCCCAAGAAACGCCTGTGACCGTAAAATATTTTAATATGAGCGACTTGTCCTGCAGCAACATCATTGCTGTTTCACTTCATTTAAGTCAACAAGTAATAAAGAACACGTGATTCTCTTTGGTCTGAAAAAAAGAAAATGGATTCATTTGGTTTTATTTTTATCAAAATTTATTTTCAAATAATAATAAACACGTGATATATTTAACAAAAAAAAAAACACAATAAACGGGAGAGTGGGGCAGAAACACATAGAGGGGGAAAATGAGAGGGAGAGAGTGGAGGGTGGGGAGAGGGCCAGAAAGTGATAGAGGGGGAAAAGGGCCTGTGGGTAAATAGAAACGTTAGTGAGTCTTTGTGTGGATCTGGAGCTGCTCCTGAGGGGTCGACTCTCAGCGCGCCCCGGTGACGTGACGTCCTGATGATGTCCTGATGGCGTCCTGATGGCGTCCTGTTGGTCTGCAGAGACAAGGAGAAGAGACGTGAGGAGGATCATCGGGATGTGAGAAAACATTCATAGATCCAATTATTTTAATTTGATGTACCTTCATTTAGTTATTTCATGTGTGTATCTACATTATACATTGTGGTTGTTAAAGTGTATTTCTGTATATGCTTTTCATGTTTAGTTCCTGAGAAGAAAGAAAGAAAAGTTAGTAACACGTTAATGTTGTTAGTGTGTAGAACAAAATCTCCAACAGGAATCAGGAAACATTTATTGCCAAAAGACGAGTACGGCTCCTTTTTCCTTTTCCTTTTTCACGCGTCTCTGGTTCCGCTCTGGCTTCCACTGAAGATCCCCCCACACTGGCTTGGCACAGCCATTTACCCCCATGATGGTCAGCTGCAGGAGGGACGTCCCCAGCACACCTGAAGAAAATCTCTCTCTCACACACACACACACACACACACACACACACACACACACACATATATGGAGCAAATCCAGGTCAAACGTTTTGTTCATTTGAAAAACAAAAAAAATGAAGTGGGGAGGAAGGGAGAGAGATGGGTGCGGGGGGAAGACAGTGGGGGGACAATGGGAGAGTGGGGGCAGAAACAGATAGAGGGGGAAAAGAAGAGAGAGGGTGGAGGGTGGGGAGAGGGCCAGAAAGTGATAGAGGGGGAAAAAGGGAGAGGGTGCCTGTGGGTAAGAGACAAGGAGAAGAGACGTGAGGAAGATCATCGGCATGTGAGAAAACATTCATAGATCCAATTATTTTAATTTGATGCACCTTCATTTAGTTATTTCATGTTTGTATCTACATTATATATTGTGGTTGTTAAAGTGTATTTCTGTATATGCTTTTCATGTTTAGCGAGTCTCTGTGCATACCAACATGTTAGAGTGTCTCTGTGTAAGTACTTTTATATGCGTCTCTGTGTACATGTACATGATAACAGCAAGAATCAGAGGTTTATCTCAAGTACTGTACTGTAAATCACAGCTTTCACCACGCGATACACCGACACATCACATCATTCACAGCCGTACGGCTGCAGTCTGTCTGGACTCCTCACTTACCTTCAGCTCTGTTGAGTGCAGCAGAAGGCGTCTTCATCTCCTCTTCACACTCCTGAGGCCTTACGGTTACTTTCTGCAAGTTTCTCTCTGGAAAACTTCAGTGTGTGTAGTTTGAAACTAACTGACTGAATGTGCCACAGACAGTGTTTCTTATGCTGAGGTGAACGGAGCTTAGAACATGGAGCTTAGAACATGGAGCATAGAACATGGAACATGGAGCTTAGAACATGGAACATGGAGAAATGTTCCATCATGATGTCACGTCTCTATGGTTACAGTGAAGGTATCTTGAATATGGAAATGAGCCTTTAAAGTAAACGTGTGTGTGGACGGTGTATCTGTATTGATGGAGCTCATCCACTTCACATGCTGCATAAAACACTTTGCTCTGTTTGTTTTCTATGACCCGTTCATCTTGATCTTGAAAGCAAACACTTTAAAGAATAAATAAAGAACGATTTTTGATTTTGGTCCATTGTTTCAAGTCGGAAATATATAAACTCTTGAATCCGGATCGTTAAACCTCCCGTTCGAGCCCTCTTGTCTGCAGTGGTTATGCTAAGCTAACCAGCGGCTGGCTTTAGCTTCGCGTTGAGCGCACAGACATGAGAGTAGGGATGAGAATCGTTTGGGTTTTTCCGATACCGATGATAAACCGACACATTTAAAACAATACCAGTGTCTGAACCCATACATGAAATTGAACAATGAACAATACCCTAAATATAGACAAATAAAAACCACTTGGCTTCAAACTACAGCTTCGAATTGTTTAACTTCAAACTATGAACAATATATGAATTGTTTAAAGTTTACAGTATGATTGCAGTGTTTATCTACCAACAGCCAGAAGAGTAGTTAATTGGAATTTGGGGAATATTAATAATTTAATTTTAGATTCATGCTCATTGTGCAGGAAGGACAGATATGTAACATATATTGAAAAGCATTTACGTTAGATTGACCTTGTTTGTCTCAAAGTATTGACGTGCAACACAGAAGAGCTGCAGAGGACAGAATGTATTAATTGTATATTTAGTTGACCCTTTGTTGCGTAGAATAAAGACAAAGCGAAATAAATCAAAAGATCTCCCGTCATTTGCGGAAGGAAATTAATACAATTGTATGCAGCTTAATGACAAACCCGGACCTAAATGAATGTGAATAGAAGGTAGATGAGTAGCGAGCTGTCGTTAGCTGCTGCGAGGACGGAGTCATCACAGTGTTTAAATCAAGTGTTTCAATCGGCTCCGGCACCGAAACCGGAGTTGCGTTCCGGTACGGTAGTTACCGGCTGGCGTGGGCACCAATGTGGCACCGGTCCTCGGTACCCAAAAATACATGAGAGGGGTCAAATCGACTATTCCTAAATAAAGCTCTGTGTCTGGGTCAATGTCTGTGCACGTGCCTGATCGGGATGTGGGGAGAGAGGCATTTATTCCCTTATAGACCGGACGTAACAGTCCTAAACGTGGGGTTTAAATACCGTGATTTTGTCTCTCAATGTGGAGGTTGAATTATCATAAGTACTTGTATACATTTTTTCTTCGTTGGCAGCTGAATGGAGGTGACACGTTCATCTCAATTTAGAATCCTTTCCTAAACATGTTGAAGCAGTGCTGTAGTTCTGCTGACACACTAATGCAGAATATCTGCAAACCTAAAAGCAGAGCTCATGAAATAGCTGGCTGGCTTTAACAGCAGGTGACTTCAACAAAAATCACGTTTATATTCCATCAAAAGGCTTCGAGAAGCTGCTCTGATCATTGCACCTGTGAGGGTGTGCGCTTACCTGTAGTCAGCGGGGAAGATAGCAGAGCACCAGCTTCACTTCTTCCTGTTACTGGTCTGACTGGACAATGGAGGGTTTGGATCACCTGCTCTATTATAACATCAGACACCACAAACACAAACATACTGTAGCGTGTCTTAAGTTCATGAAAGGTATATGGTTCTGATTAATGTTACTGTTACGTAGGCCAGGGTTGGGGTATGTCTGTAGTTTCGGGGTTCACGGGAAGTTGAGTTCTGACTAGAAAATGACCGGGTGTTGTGGAGCGGCGTGGTTGTGGCCGACAACAGGCAACAATAAACCCGAGTGATAAGAAACTGGCTCTTTATTGACACGGAACGTTACAACTGGTGTCAGAAGAAAACTTCTGATTGTGATGACGTAGTCGACCGCTCGGGCATTGGCGGACTACTGTTTGATGGACGCTTTTTCTGGTGGAGATGGAGCGTTCTTTTGGCAGAGGTTTTTGTGTCAAGAAGGAGGAGGAGGACAACGAGTACGGACAACCTCGTCCTGTTCAAGTGCTGGGAGGACAACGTTTTTCCGTGGACAGTTTGGGAAGCGGATGTTGGAGTCACCAACATCCGCTGGGGGTCCTGGCTTAGCGACGGCTAGCGCTGACGCTAGCTACACAGCGCGCGAAAATTTGCCGCCCGGGAACGTGCATGGACAAAACGTAAACAAAGATGGCGGCGCTCAGGGACAGCGAGTGCCGGTAGTCATAAAAACGGCGAAATATGCGCCAGACTGGGAGGCTTTTCATGCTCAGTTCGAGCTTTTAGCTTGTGCAAACAGCTGGTCAGATGAACAGAAAGCCCTCCAGCTCGCCCTTTGTTTGACGGATGATGCACTGTCTTGCCTGCTGCTTTTAGACCTGAGTGAGAGGGGTAATTATGGAGCCCTGGCTGGTGCTCTAGGGCTTCGGTTTGGACAATGTTTTCGTTCGGAGCTGCTGCGCTCGGAGCTGCATGGATGTCAGAGGCGAACTGGGGAGTCCCTGATCACGTTGGCAAACGACATCGAAGGACTGACACGACGAGCATAAGCGCATATGCCTACGCCAGTGCAAACGGAGCTTGCACGTGATCAGTTTGTCAGGGCTCTCTCGCCATCTGATCTGCGGGCTCACACTCAGTTGGCTCGCCCCCAAACCCTGACTGACGCACTGGAGTACGCGCTGGAGAGGGAGATGGTCATGAGCGCTGCACAGCACGATGCTTCTCCAATGGTCAGGGCGGTAGGAGAGACAATGTCGGAGCGGCCGCTGTGGGTGGACGAGGTGACCGAGATGATCAGGGGGTTGGCTATGCCCCATGCCAGGTGTCAACAAACACAGGCCCCGGTGCGGCCACAACAACAGCTGCGCCTCTGCTGGGGATGTGGCCAAGCTGGACACTTGGTGAGGAATTGCCCAGCCTCGACTAAAGCTCTGGGAAACGACAAGGGGACGCAGTAGACGGGACGCTACGTGCCCCCACCCTTAAGTCCCGTTCGTCACTGGTTGTGGCCAGCAGCGCCTCTCAGTACAGCATGGGCCGGGGGCAGAATGTGGTTGTGGTGGGAAGGACTTCCATATCGGACTTATTCCCATTTGCATCGAGGGGGTTTCATGCACCGCCCTAGTGGACACAGGGTCAACGATCACATTGGAGGTGGTGCCAGTGGGTACACAGCTGGAGGACACAGCAGTTCAGCTCCGCACAGTAACTGGTGAGCTAGCACCAATGAAAGGGAGAGGGCAGCTGATATTGACTGGGGGAAATGAGACACACTGTGTGGGTAGCGGAATTACAAGATGCCTGTATTTTAGGCTTGGACTTTTTGCGGGACCAGGGGTCCAGGGCTGGTCCTTCTGCAGCCCCTGACCCCGAAGTGCCTTTTGTTCTGGACACAGACGCTAGCGGCGATGCAGTGGGGGCAGTCCTATCACAGGCATGGCCGGAAGGAGAGAGGGTTGTGGCCTACTACAGCAAAGTATTGCGTCACACGTAGGGAGCTGCTTGCTGTCGTCTTTTCCGCACTGCATTTTAAGTACTACCTGTGTGGCCGCCCCTTCACTGTACGCACTGATTATGCCTCACTGCAGTGGCTGATGACATTCCAAGAGCCTGAGGGACAGCTGGCTCGTTGGCTGGAGGAGCTGCAAGGCTACGAGTTCAGCGTGGTTCACCGTGCTGGAGAACGGCATGGCAACGCTGACGCACTGTCCCGTCGACCCTGCAGTGAAGACGACTGCCGGTATTGTGACCGCAGAAAGGTCAGAGAACAGCAGCTGGTTCTGGGGCCAAACAAGCAGGACAGAGAGGAGTGTGAAGAGATTGTCAGGGCTTGTCAGGGCTTGTAGAGAGCAAGTGCCCGAAGTTTTGCCACTGCGGCTTTGGAGCCACCTGACCTGGGACACACAGGGGGGGCAACGGGAAAAGTCAACACCCGCGGGCCGACCGAGGAGGAAGCGGCGGACGCCACTGAGGCTTAAAGACTTTGTCCTCGGGGACGAGGACTTAAGAAGGGGGGGGGGGTAATGTAGCGTGTGTTAAGTTTATAAATGTATATGGTTCTGATTGATGTTACTGTTACGTAGGCCAGGGTTGGGGTGCCGCCCCTTCCGGGGAATGTGTGTAGTTTTCGGGGAGCACAGGAAGGGGAAGTTCTGTTCTGACTAAGTTGATGACCGGGTGCGTGGAATGGCGTGGGGTGGCCGACAACAGGCAACAATAAACAAAGTGATAAGAACCTGGCTCTTTATTGACACGAAACGTTACAATACTGAATGTAACCTTCATTCTGGTGGTAACGTGATTAGAAATATCTGGGTTTCTTAACTATTGATCAGTCAGAGATTGGCCACCTCAAAAGCATTAATGGCGACGTCCTGGCAGCATATTTTGTGAGTGACGCCGAGTGCGAAAAGTGGTCGGTGGTAGCTTCCTTTGTCAGGACGGCAGGTTCCGGTGGTCGGTGGCAGGTTCCCTTTTCGGAGCGGCAGGTTGCATTGGTCGGTGGTCGGTTCTTCCAGTGGTCGGTGGAAGGATCCTTTCTCAGTGGAGACATGGTCCCACCAACTTAAATAGGATCCATATCAGTGTATTCCCTCTTTTGACCTCATGAAAATGCGGGTTCTAAATTAGACTAATACCACCACATTTTACCTCATTGATGGGGTCTTCAGTCGCAGTGTCCCTTTCCTGCCAGGAGGGGTCCTTGTTTGAACAACTTTGTGTCACTCAGAAATAAGAACAGAATCTGTTTTATTTCCCATATATGCGTATATGTACAAATTTGATTTCGCCTACATGTCAGGTCTCAAAACACACAGTTCATTCAATAAACAGGAATATATAAAATAATTCAAATTAAATTAAATTTGAAATAATGATTTAACAACTATGCAATATAAAATATACATTCAAAATGATACATTTATTTGACCTTATATTTAACAAGTCGTCTCCTTAGTCCGCAGGATCTGCAGTAATCTTTCCTGCTTGTTTCCTCGCCCCTCAGATGTACAAGTCCAGGATGGAGGGCAGTCTTGTGGCAATCATTCTCTCTGCGCACCTGATGATTCCGTTGTAGTCTGTGGTCTTGTTTGGTGGCCAATCCAAACCACACAGCGATGGAAGAACAGGGAGTAGACATGATGGGAGAGTAGAAGAAGCCCCCCCGGTATGATGGTGTTCAATACAGAGCTAAAGTCCACAAACAAACAGATCCCCCAACACCAGCTTCTCCAAAGTTTCATCACCATAGACGGACGATGGGCCTGTAGTCATTTAATCCCATGACGGTGGAGCGTTCGAAGCACGAGGGGACTTCACACAGCTCGAGTGATTGGTTGAAGATCAGCGTGAAGATGGGGCGACAATGGTGACACATCAAATAATAAAAAGAAAGTAGTATTAGTCAAACTATTTATCTATATACTTATATACTGTTGTATATCTTTACACATGGGGCGGGGGCGTTACATATTTATTTTATGTTTTCTTTCTGGGATACATTGACCATAAAAGCAATATCTACGTGGATCCACTTTTTGTACAATGTAGTTCTTTTTCTTTTTTTTTAACAAATAACTATGTATGATGTGTTAAAATTGTGCAATGTCATCCTCCGTTGATAGGACAAACTATGTAACAATAGGGTCAACTAACAAGAACGGATGCACTGGTGATCATGTCATGTGACACGGTGTAATTCTTTTTGGGAAATATTCTACAGAGATCGCCTATCACCTTTTTCAGACAATGTTAATTTTGTGTTAACAAATGAATCAGTAATAGCACACTATCAAACTTTAGTATTGGTCCACAACTACCTGGTTGAAGAACATGACTTACTTTTCTCAATAGATCTTTCAAGAGAAGACAATATAGCTGCTAAAATGTCAGTTCTGTCTTCATTAAATAACCTCTTAATAGATTCTTATCAATAATAATTTATTCTACATTTGTACCCGTTTTTCTGCTTCAAATCCTCATTCAGTTTAAATCTGAACACCCACACCCCCCCCCCCATACCCCCTCGCCCAACACACACAAACACACTGGTTGAGAGACCTGCAACACTTATTCTATTATGTAATCGCACATTTTCCTAAGTATTGTTTTGGATCACTTTTTTTTGCTACATCTTTAAAACCTATGTATAAATTCCATTCCCCTACTATAACAATATATTTCTTTGAATTATTTTTCCTTTTGAATTGTTCTTCTCTTCATTGTGTTATGGAGATAAACATATGTGAGACACCTCTGCTGCTCAGGGTCATAATGACCTGCTAACTAAAAGTCAAGGCAAATCAAGCCAACAAGCCAATCAATGTTCTTCAGGACCTTCAGAAACATCCCCCTCTATGTCTCTGTTGTCATCAAGGCTGAGTTTCAGAGCATCCTAGGCATGATGCTTTCTTTTTGTTTTACGTTGATAACAAAAATGAAGGCAAGCAGAGGTTTTATTCTGAAAAAGAGGTGACAGAGTTCAAGGGGGTACCTTGACACTGTCACAGTCAAATTACTGCAGTAGACCCCTGCTGGTCTTTCCAGAAAATTTTTCCAAAAGCTACAAAAGAGAAATAATTGAAATGTAAACAATTCAGACATGTGCAGGCTGTTGGAGAAAATTCAAATCATTTTCTGGAGGTATTAATGAAAATGTTGTGCTGCATAACCATGTGTTTACAGTAATGTAATGACTTTTGATACATGTCAGTTTGCAGGCAGAGACTGTTATTTCATGTTGGACGGAGACTT